TGTCACACCAAACATGCTTGCCCTTTCAGCCATAGGGGTGTTATAATGTTACGGTCAATCCCACTATTCGTTGGTAAAAGAGTAGCCCAGGAGTTGGCGGTGGGTGGTGATGACTAGCTGCCTTCCCTCTAGTCTTACACTGCTAAATTAGGGATGGCTAGTGCAGATAGCCCTTGTGTAGCTTTGTGTGAAATCCATAACAAACAACTTTTTGTTTTGTAGGCTTCGCATGTTCCAGTCATTTCATACATTCAGAGTGTTGGTTTGTGGCGGTGATGGCAGTGTGAGTTGGGTGATGACAGAGATTGATAAGTTGAATCTACATAATCAGGTAAAATGATGTAAAAAAAACTTCTTTGTGGAACTTTTATTATTCATGTTTCCAAGTAGAACCCCCATTTGAACTATATGCATCAGCACTTTTCCAGATTCTTCTGATTCTATATTATTTCTTGAAAGCAGTTTTTTTACCTATAGATATTGTCCATTTCCGAAAAAGTACTCCAATAATGTCCAAAATATTACGTTCTTAACTAAACCACTTTCTCTACACACACACGTATATATATATATATATATATACACACACACATTTTATTAGTCTTGCTTGAATAATAACTACTATATTTTTGTTTTTTGTATGGTAGAGATTGAGCTTACCTCACAAAATAACAAATGTTTTGTGTTTCTTTAGACATAAACAACTACTGAAAAACTTTATATAGATTATTGAGACAGTGAAAGAAAATGGATAATATAGGTCTTGAAGAATGATACTAGCTTGTAACAAACAAATATGGGTTTTACTGAAGTTGATTGTGTAAATATTAAGGTGAAACTTTTTAAGAAAATTAAATAAACATTATTGAGTTTAGTGATGCATAGCCTTTTGTTTCCTTTTATGACTTATGGCATCTGATACCTTAATTCTTTTATTCTTCTGACTTTTTTCAGTGTTAATAGTGTTCATTGTAGTATTTTTGTTTGTTCTATTTTAAAATTTGAAATAACTATTCACAAACTTTAAACTGTTATACATAAATAGATAAAACTAAACAACAAAAATTCTTATTAACATATTTTATAATGAATTTTTTAGTGAATTATTCTTAATCAATGAATAAACGTTAAATAATTGAAAGTATTTGTTTTCTAGTATTTCTATCCAATTACTGAGGTGCCTTATTTATCCACTTTAAGAGGAAACATTTATCACAAAATGTAGAGCTGAGGGATCAGTGGAATTTGTTAATCGATTAATTATTGGACTCATTACTTGATTACGTTCAACTTATCAATTAATCTCATATATAATTTAATCTTCCTATTTTCCAGATTCTTTTTTTTTAGGTCATTTTCAAACCATTCTTTGTTTAATATGATATATATCTTCTGGCAGTTGTCATTTGCTCAGTTTGGGTAAAAAACATATATTAGGCTAGAAAACTATTTTGTTGAAATTTTTTGCCATAAATTATTTTTGAAGATAATTTGAACATTTCTACTTAGTGATTCTGAGATGATACCTCCCCTCTTTATACAGAATAGCTATATCCTTCGTGCATTTGGTTTTGAGATTTGCATTCCATTAACCTTGAGCTAACTTCCACCTAAAATTGTATGTTTAAAGTGTTTATGTTCAAGTTACTGAGATTTACATTTGTCAATGAAACTTGTGTATTAATTCTGCTTTTGTTTATTTTCTTTTTTAAAGCATTTTTTAACATTATGAATTATCAAGTTAAGGTGACTTCTAATTTATCCTGTGAAAATACCTGAGGTATGAACACAGGACCTATTTTTACTATAACTCCTGGAGGCCCATTGACCGTTAAGGATGTTACATTCATTGTACAGTGTGTTGTGGGTTCCCTCATGCATACTTGGCCTCCTTCTCTCATCCCTTTGGCTGACATCCTTTCCTCTTAGTTTGTGAATGACCAAGAGAAAAAATTTAATTGACTGTTTGCCCCATATTGGTTTGCTTAAAGTACTGCTTTGCTGATTGGGGGAAAATTATAAATTTTTCAACCTGTTTCTGGATATTATTTCTCAGGTTTGTTTCTTTCTTTATCTTTAGCCTATGTCTTATAATTCTTCCTGTTCTTTACTTCATCTAACTACTTCTTGGGATTATTTTGTCTTTCCTTTTTTGCCTAATATTAGGACTTTTGCTCTTTTCTTTCTTGGACAACTCCACTTACATACCCTCATGCCTTATCCCCCTTTATATTGTGGACTCTTGTCCTGACTTTCAGTCATTCTTCCTTTCCTTTTCTAGATTCTCAGTCTTTGGAATCTCTTTTGCCTGCTTTGGGAGCAGACCCTTTGTCCTCTATTTCACACTCTAGTTCCCTATTTTTGTGCTTTTGTTTTTTTTTCTCACTGCCTTCCTATGTTCCTTCACCTCCCTAAACATTTGGTCTAAGGCAATTCTTCATCCTCCAGATGAGTTTTCTAGAGAGATTCATTCCCTTCTCTTTACTGTCTTAGCTTGTACCAATTTTTTGCACTGTCCCTCCTTACTTGATTCCTGTGCTGTTGGGACTTGTTGGGTTGAGATATGTATGTTTGCCTTCCTACATATCCCATGATATTAGTCAGGCTCCTTTCCTTTGCCTGCAAATCTTCAGTTGTGTTTGTGTTTCACTGGAGACCTGGGCTGACGTGGCCTGGCATCAGTCCTCATTATCTTCTCTGGTTCTGTGTCTTTCTCATCCTTACCCTTTGACTTCTGTTCCTTGGCTGAATCAATCTACAGCTACCCTTCCTATTCTAGCTTCCAGGCCTTCCTATTCTTCCTGTCTTCATGCTACCTGATATCGGATTTATCACTTTTCTCATCTATGATTATTTTATTGGGTCAGGCCCTGTGGGTGCCTGTCTGTTTCACTTCACCAGCCTTTGGTCTCAGTTTTCTACCAACAGATGGGTCTTTCATGTTTTCATCAACTTCTCTCCATCCCCATTCTCTTCCCTCTGACACTGTTTATTTTCAATATCTTTTGGCCAAACATGCCATGAGATGATATGCACCCTTTCCCTGTGTTTTTTACTCTCACCTCTTGATGGTTCACAAGTAGACCTGGGCCTGACATCTGGTTCTCAAACTCATGTCTTTCAGCTGGTTTCTAGTTGTTCCATGGTTCTGGATGGAGAATTTCACCCAAGCTGTAAGTAATCATGGTCACCATGTCAGATGTCTTTTTATATATCCTGCTTACCCTGTCTTTTTAACATTTTTTATGTTTCGTCCATTGGAAATTAGCCTTCCCATTACATCCTCTTCAGCATGACATCAACCCCTTCTGTCTTCAGTTGGGTCATATGGGCCTTTGCTTGCCACCTTCACAGACGGGGACTGGGTCCCATTTCTGCATGTTCAGTTGGCTTCTACTAGCCCATTCAAGAGAAATGTCTTTCTTTTACACCTCCCTTCTTCTGCAGAAAGCGGCTCAGTTGGGATGACTTTGTCATGCTTTCCTAGTCATTTCTCATGCATATACAGTATTTAGTACATCTGGGCATTTTCTTCTACTATCATCTCTGTCTGGTTCAGTCTTCATCTTTTCACATGTGAGCTAAGGAATGTCTGGTCACTGATTTGAAATTTTCATTTCATTCTGTGGGTGAGTTTCTTTTGGTTTTGGGGTCTCTGGCTTCCCAGGAACTGCTCAATCCTTTAGGATGTACACACACATGTGCCTCCTCTGATGAACTTGGCAAGACCAGTGGAATCTTTCTCTGAATGACACTGTGTCTTCTTTGTTTATGGATGGGAAGAGAGTTCACTTCATGTCTGTGTGCTTGGACTTCTCACTGATCATCAGACATGTTCCCATTTCCCAGGGGTTTTGTATCTCGGTCAGACTGAATTTTGCCCACTGTTTAGTCTCTCCAACCATGAGTTTTTCATTGGTTTTTGCCCTTGGTTGAACACACCTCTTGTGGATATTTTTGCCTTTTCTCTAAACTCCGGTTCCTCTTTTTCTTGTCCCTAGTTCCTCATTTCTTAGCTCTGACTGTCAGTGCTTTCAACCATAACTTTTGCTATATGACTATTCTCCTTTTTTGGATCATCGTTTTGATAGACAACACTCCTTGTCAGGTCCTATTGGTGACACCTCTTTGGCCAACTCATTTGTGGTTTCCTCTACTTCTTTGATTGGCATCCTGACACTCCTTCTCTTACCCAGTGCCCCTTCTCTGTTGCTTCCACCTCAAATGGCTTTTTTTTCCTCCATTGCCTTTAGGGCTGGACTCTATGGTCGTGTCGCCTTCTTATTTCATTCCTGTCATTCTTCCACTTTGTCTGTCTGTTAAATGAAGTAGTGGGTTATTGTTGTTGGTCCATCCACAGCTCCATTTCTCCCATCTGTCCTACTGTGGCACTCCTTTTTGCCTTTTACACTTGGTTCTTTGACCATAGTTTGTCAATCTCCACCTTCACTGGGTTTTGGGCAGCCTTTTCCTCTATGTTTTACCCCTTTGCCATAGGTTTTCTTCCCCTGTCCTCTCCACTCTGTTCTGATACTTTCTTCTTCGATGACCTCCTTGCCTGACTCCTGTTTCTCAAGTGTTATTTACCGTGACAAGAGATTGTGACGTTTGGAAGATCATCAGGCTCAAGGCTTACTAGAAGGTTATTAAGAATAAGAGTGGAAGCCATAACTTCTGCATGAGTAGAGAATTTAGGAGAAGGGTCAAATGTAGACTTTGGAATAGTTCCAGGGGAAGTAGTGATAGAAATGGAATTTGGAAATATAGAAGTGTGGCATACAGATGTATGTACTTTGGGTTGAAAGGTTGTGACTGAGGCTGGCTTTGTGGATTGGGTATCAGGTTTAGGGCTTAGAAAAAGGTTACTAGAAATAAAAGTGGAAGTCATAACTTCAGCATAGGTTAGACATTTAGGCGAAGGGTCACAATTAGAGTTTTGGACAGTTCCAGGAGAAACAGGGTTTGGAAGTGTAGCAGAGATGTGGCACACAGATGTATGCTCTACGGGTTGAGGGTTTTTAATGAGATAGGGGTATGGGGAATAGAAGAGGTTGAAGGAGATTTAGGACTAGAGGTGTTTGGTTGGTTTACGCTGGAGTATTCAGTATTAGTTTGTAGGCAAGGAAGAATAAAGTTGGTAATAAAGAAGCAGAAATTACAGGATAGGAAAACGATTCCTTGGAAAGAAAGGTGTAAACCATCCTTTGCTAAGAAATGTCTCCCGCTTTCAAGTTTCAAGTTAGTGTTATAAAGGAAAGACAAGCGTGGGTTACGTTGACATAGGTCATGTGTGAGAGCGTTGAATTTGTCAATTTTGTTGTGATTTAAAGT